CTTGAGATAAAGGCATTTTTAATAATAGTGGTGATAAAACAACGCGTTGAAGAAAGGAAGTGGGTGGCGTAGGGAGAAATTCGTCGCTCGGTGGTATTCGTCGCTCGGTGGTTGATTACGTTAACTAACTAGTTAACTAAATGCCGTTTGTACTCTTACGCTTACGATTGACACAGTGAAACATGGGTTATTTCCATATCCTGATGCAGAGAGTCATATGGTTAGAGCCCAGCTCTTGGTGACTTGATGATATTTATCAGGCCAATTGTTGTGGGAAACGGGGCTGATGAAGTTCAGGGAAGCAAGTCAAATTTCATTGAGAAGAATGGAACCAGGTTAGCAACGATGAATGCTAATTTCAAACCAGTATGAGATAAATAATCGAGTATTTAGCCGCACATGAGTGCCACAAGTCATCGATCTTTGCGCGATACAATAGGAGACATTGAGCAGGGCCTTGATCTCTGCAAGCTCGTCAGACCTGTGTCAGAAGGATTCATACGCCTAACTCCAAAATGTAATGCTGATAAGATATTTGTGCGCGAGGTCAACAAGAAACAACATCTTCGTAGACGAAACTTTGTTGGCAAGGTATCCAGGAAAACATAGACAGGCGAATTGAGTAGGTCTTCTAGCCATCATGGCAAGATGCGAAAAAAGTGGTTCTAAGGCAAATGGACGGAAATCTTATGAAAGTCTTGAACACCCATGTATGAAAGAATTGTTTGGCCACTTGTATCCGGCGTCGGACCTGGGAGAAGTCGGATCAGTTAAACGAAACATATCGAAAAAGTGGGTCCGGGATGAGATTAAACGTACCATGTTGTTGTGTTGGCATTGCGGTAGGCTCTCGGGTGCTTCGCAATGTATTCGGTCGTCTCATAGCCCGGAGGGTCGCAAGTGACACTGATGTTGTCAGGATCCTGGTAAATCCGAATATAATCGAACCGCATGATGCCAGGCATGTAGTTTCTGATCGAGTCATTGATGGCCGCGAAGTTGTAGGCCATGCCCAGGTTCATGACGACGGACATCGGCTCAAGGGGAATCATGCGCTGACCAATATTACCATTAGGGCCGATAGCTCTAGCATCCAAGGTCCAGGTTTTATCGGCCCCGACAAACCAGGTGATGTCTCCTTCAGCGCCAGGGCTATACTCAAAGGCATAGACTTGGTACTCGGTGCCGTTATACCACTTATTGTTCAGATTAGTGAGACCAGACATGGCTTGCTGGTATGGACCTCCTCTATAACTGTTGATTTGCGTTATGTGAGGATCATATACAGCCGTGAATTCTACAGTTTGTGAGCGTGAGATGAAGATCTCCAGTACGAGATAGTGGTCTGCGTATCCAGGGTGAGTAGAACTTACCGTAATCAGGCATGTACCATATGTCAAACGGCGCCATCTGCAAACTCTGGGAGACAGAGCCAATGACTGCATTTGGGTTATTGTTCAGAGAAATCACGCTTGCCTCGATCACATCGATCTCCGGCGCACTTCTAGATTTGCCAGGGCTTGGGTGTTCCTCGCCTGCGCAAGTACAGGCAGGCAAGCGCATTCCAGGAAGGTAACTGATGCCATCGGTGGAACTCTGGTTTGGGGTGATGCCAGCATCACACTTATCATGATAACTGTAGGGCCACATCCCTTCTGTGGTCGCAGCGTACCCAGGCCGGGCCAGATTTCCCATCGCCCAGAAACCGGGCCAGAATCCAGACACATCACCCGACCCCGGTAGGGATATGCTTGCTTCCAGGCGACCCCCCGAGAAGCACAGTTTGTTCCAGCTTTGTAGCATTCCTGATCGGTATTTCAGCTCATGATTGGGGAAGGAATCGAAACGAATCTCCAGGACCCCATCTCTGGTCGTGACCGCATCTGGGTCGTACCACTGCGGACAGGTCAGCCTTGACTCCAGTTGACTATACATGTATTATGGCTAACCTCCAAGTCCTGCGTCACTCCGTACCAGAGATCAACCGCCTGATAGAACGGGTCATCTCCATCATAAAAGGTCCGACCTTCAGTATTGAATTCGTCCGAGAACTGGTTGATAGATGTCAGCCTTTCATCCAATCAGAAAAAAAAAAAAAAAAAAAAAAAAAAAGAGTACTGAGCTTACTACAAGCTTCCACTCCTTCCCATCCGCGGATGTCTTGGTTTTGGCGGAATCCGGTGTGTCCGGATCTATCAAGCCTCTTCGTATGTTCGACAACAACGGGCGTTCCCCGACGTCTAGACAGAGCGTATCGCCCGGGTTACATGTAGGGCCAGACTTATCTAGCCTGCCTTTCACCGCCGTTCTAAGAAGCCGTTGTGGTCAGTTCATGCATTTGAGCGCTATTGATGAGAGAAGATCAGAGCCTACATCACGGGATAGCCAATGAAGAGTGTTAGAAAACCTAAGGTCAGCAGTACTAGGCCCGTCACGTTTAAGATGCCGCGACGATTCCACAAGTCGCACTGTCCTTCTTTATCGTTCGGATCTGGGTTATGCAGATAATCGTCCTTTTCCTCCGGCTCAGGAAAGAGAAGCAAGCCGTCCGTAGGCGTGATGTTGTATTTTTCGGCGACTGTCTGGGTGTTCAGATCATTTTCATCGCTATCTGCTCGGGATGAGGCGCGTGAATCTTCAAATGGATTGTAAGGATATCCCCTCGTGTCGTAGCTCCCTGCCTCTGAGCTCCAGCTCGTTCGCCTTGACGAGTGTATTGAAGGTGCTGGTGACCGGTATGGTTCGTACTCTTCCTTAAAACGATGCGGGCGCGGTGGTAGGAGAAATTCAGACGAATCTTGCAGATTGGAGGACTCGTATACTGTATGTAATGTCCCGGCAGACGGTGACAGGGCCACGCCTGGTATCAAAGCTCGTCCAATTTGATGACTCGGGACTGTCGAGAAGCGATCTTCCGAATCCGTAATGGGCTCATGTTGACCAGAGTTGATTCGGATCTGAATGTGAGGGACATCCTGAGCGCTTTGCGTTGAGGAGTTGTCGGGCATTCTGACGTAGGCCGGATACTCTCTTTGAGGATCTATGAACCTGTGTAGAGGCCGGTGCGAGAATCAGTCGCCGCCGACACTTCGACAACAGTTTGCTCGTAGTTTGGCTGTATGTCAATCACCAAAGGATGATTTCTTGTCCAACGGTACCAGTCGTGTGTTCCGCCTCCTGCTCCAATCTGCTAGTCACTCTTTCGATCCCTTCAATTGCGTTATCTGAGGACCATTGCCAGAAGATCCGCTCTCACAAAGTGTGTGGCTTCAAGGGCAGGGAGTGTTCATTCAGCCTTGCCAAGTTGGTAGATCGAGTCGATTCTGGTATCCTCAGAGATCTGTCCTGCGCGGTAACGACTGAATTGGAACTCGTGATACAGATGGTGCGCCAGTTGTTGGAAGAGAGTTGAACAACGGCAATAAGAATAATACTCACTTGTTATTTGAGGAAGTAAGCTTGATGACAAAAATATTGAGAGAGAGAAAGAGGGACAAAGTGACTGGAGACTTGAGATAGGAGCGAGAGCGTAAACAATGGCGGAAGGCCGATAGAATGTGTCTCAACAGGAATTGCAAAAAAGAGGGAGAATGATCAAGAGCGAGTGTAGGAAAGAGAACAAAACAAGGTATTGCAACTATTCAATAATTGAAAGTTCTTGGGGGATCAAAGGGATAGCAGAGCAGGTTTGCAGTCCCTGTTTGTCTAGTTGTCCCTACATAGAAGAGTCGAGTGCCCTCTTCCTTGTTCTTCTAGCAGGTCAACGATCAAGGGATCCATATCCCACGGCAAAGAACATCAAAATACTATGCATTCATTGGTAGTAGTAATAACAACAGCATCAAAACAAGCATAGCAACTTTAAGCGTTGAGGCAGTCCGCCATGGTTACCAAGGGTCACCCTCCCGTCCAGGAATGCTCTCGTTCAGGAGGGGCGATGCTTGGGAGTGCTAGCCAGCCTTTGAAGGCCCACGATGATTGACCGAGCTCTTTGATATTCTGCAGAGAGTTTCGAATAATTGGTGGCTGTATGATGGCTGGAAACGTCAGAAGCGAGTTTGTGACCTACAGCTAGTAAACGATTAATGGCATCAATCCACAGAGTTATCAACTTCATCCTGATAGCAGTGTTGGCTGCAAAGACCATCCAAGTGTGAGATCAAGGAGCCGAAGGACGGAATCCGGAACGGAAGATGAACAGTGGTTGCTAGCCAGAGTCGCTCTGGAATGGAGGATGAAGTTCAAGGGAATTCCACGACAGAAGGGCAGGTATGTACATCCTAACTCATAAATCAGGCACACAGCAGCTAAGCTGCTTTGGGGTTAGTCTGTTGATCGTTTTGTACGGCATCAAGGACCACCAAAAACCATTAGATATAACCACCAAGAGTGATGAGCGTTAATATGTTTCGAGTTATTATCTCGTGTCAATCCAGTTCATTCTCTCCTTATACTCTTCCTCGTTGATGGCTTGGCTGAAGTAAGTGAGGACATCGCAACGAGGGACAAGTCATCCTCAACGTACACAAGAAACAACAACAACAATGAGCCAAGGACAAACTGTCTCGAGTCAATGACAGTAAATGTCTTCTTATTAAATTCACTGAATTCAGATGCTGAGATAAATCCCAGCTGATGGTCTCCTAATGTCTTTGTTCTAATCAAACAGGTAGTCACACATGACGGCCTAAAACAGGACCATTCCAGAACACGCGTCCTTTTTTTGCACTGGTGAACCTTGACGGTTACTTCGATTTGCTTGCAAAGTATGATATGCATCCGATATTTCTGTTGATGGGCTTACGGTCATAATGTGTCAACTCTTCAGTAGCGACTGAGGCCAGAGAAAGCTACCGATTCGCTAGAATAGTGTCTATCAAGTCCACGCTCCGTCGTCGCACTCGTCCCCATCCCAACGAGACAGACACATACCAGCCATTCTGCCATTCCAACCGGGTCAGAAGCTAGTGAGCCTCCCTGAAACGTGTTTTCTGACAGGCAGTCACTCAATAGGGTGTCTATTGTGGTTATGCTGCTGATCATCAGTTGGTTATACATGTCGGGCGTGCAGTTGGTGATAGATACATGCGCGTCTTGAATGACGGTCACATTATGATCAAGCCGTGCCTTATATCAAAGTGACACTTCCTCTCCTTACTCTGTACATTGGTGATACCTCTTCCCTGTCACTGTTTCAAGAATCAATAAGCACATAGATTGTCTACAACTTGACTTTGCCACATTGCTCTACTTGGAATCGACGATGCGTAGCTCTATGGTCATCTAGCTCCTGCTCGATATATCATGGTCTTTATGAACATGTCAGTGGTTAAGATAGTGGACGGAGACCAGAGCTCTCTGTGGACTATTAGACGAACGAGGTGGTCTTACATGGATCATACGGAAGCACACTGACTTGTAATAATATAAACGACATGAATCCACATATTATGATCATAATGTTCTGCAGAATAAGAGCTTCTCATGCAAAATATGGTCGATTCCTACTATTGCGTATCGATATGCACCAAATTATGATTACCATTATGGTTACTTGTGTCGTAACATGCAAGAGAGAATGTATATTTTGCATAGACTCTGTACAATAAATCCCGGAGCCACTGGAACTGAAGAGCTCAAGCTATACTAGACACATATCACATAAATCATCATCTGGCTATATCAATTACAAGCTCACAACTCACCGGACATACAGACTCGAGAAAAAAGCGAACTAAGACTCGATCGCTTTCGCCCTCAATCCCACAATAGTACCTCCCTCGGCATCCAACCCCAGAATATAATACTGAACGCGCGATTTGCCAACTTCCACCCGGTACACCTTAACCTCTACATCCGATTCACTGATACCAGGCTCACCACCCCCAGAAGCCTGCGCGACCGCGGCCCGCACCGCGCGCAGTGCAGACGCGTACTGGTTCCTAGGATCAAAGGTCGAAGGCGTCAATGTCTCAATGGACGAGGAGAGATCAGCGTCGGGGGAGATGAGTCTCGAGAATTCCGCTGTGCGGATACGGCATCGTTTAGCAACTGCTTTCTTCACGCAGTATGACTGTCCATCGAGATACACGTACCAGGACCGGGCCAAGTTCCCTTATTCGCACCCTGCCATCTCAATGTTACCGGCTCAAAGGGCTCGTCTGTCTCGGAGACGTAGTATGCATGCACTGATTTGAGTGAAGCGGGGATTTGAACGCCAATATCGACGGCCTCCGTGCGCACGCCGGACGACTGCTGGGTTTGTTGTGCTCGGCCGCTATTGGCGCCTGCGTTGGCCTTGTCCAGGAAGGACATGTAGGCGTCGTCTGAAGACATGGCTCGAGAGATGATGGGTTTGCGGCGGGGGTTCGGTGATGCGATGCTGTAGTGGGTTTGGTGGGACGAAACTAGAAGTGTCTGATTCTGTGGAGAAGTTCGAATACGCAAGTGGGAATATGAGCAACAATGTCGGTGAGAGGGGAAAAGACTCCGAGACTGTAATACCGGAGACTGGGGAGAGCGGGCGAGCAGATTTGAAGATGGGGTTGAAGTTGAAGCCCAACACGAGTTGCGATTAATGACGCAATGGGCCCTGCGGCTCAGCTGCCACCTACGCATGGGTGCTTCAACAAACGGCCAGTGTCTTTTAGATTTTAACAATTAGATAAAGAGATGCAAGTAAGTAAGACTGTAAAAGATCACACGGCAGGAATGACGAAGCTTTGTCTGCAGCAAATGAGACCTAGGAGAGGGCAAAAGAGATTCCAGGCGAGATTCCGGCAGGCGCAAACTTTTACTCTCAAGCCCTTGGGTCACAGCTCTTATGTATAAACCAACAGTGATTTTGAAGCATACACTACTTGATCGCCTTGTGAAGACTACTTTCCTCGAAACATCATCATATTACCTTAAGTTACATGAATACTTAGAAACAGGTATCACTGATACTTCAGCGGAAGGCGTAGGATTTGAAGGTATTGTTCGCTTTTTTATTGAAAAAGGTAATAAGCTGCACTACACCAAACCGACATAAACACCTTAAGCAGAAGTAACAAGGTCCTTCTTGAGGGTACCCATGAAAGCACGCTTCTCCTCGGGTGTCTGGAAAGCACCGTGGCCGAACTTGGAGGAGGTATCGATCCACTTGAGCTCGACCTTCTCGGTGGCTCTCCGGCTGGTCTGGGGGTACAGGGTCTTGCGCAGAGTCATAACACGCTTCTTGACACCAGGAACGGAGCCCTTGACCATGACATAGTCGTTCTTAACCTCACCATAGCGGACGAAACCACCCATGCTGTAAGGAGAATTCATCAGCGATATTGTTCATTCGAGCAATCCAAATGTCTTGGTACTTACGGAGTGATCTGCTTCTTCGAGATGTCGAAGTCGGTGGAGGCGTTACCCTCGTCGGAGCCCTTGCCAATGCGGAAGACCTTGTGGTTGCAAGAGGTACGGTGGTGGTAACCCATTTGACCGGCACGGGCAACAGTCCACTGGACGTGGCTAGGGTGCCAAGCACCGATACAAGCGACCTTACGCAGACCCTTGTGAGTCTTACGGGGAAGCTTCTTGGTGCCCCAACGGCTGGTGACACCCTGGAAACCGTGACCCTTGGTGACGGCAATGACATCAATCATCTCGTCCTTCTCGAAGATGCTGTCGATCTCAATGGGCTTCTCGAACAGGTTGCGGGCGAAGTCAACCTTGTCGGCAACGGAGCCACCGTTGACCTGGATCTCCATCAAGTGGGCCTTCTTCTGCTTGAGAGGGGTCTTGCGGATCTGGGTGTGGGCGAGGACACGAACGACAGTGCAGTACTTCTTGATGCGCTCAAGCTCACGGGTGACGGAGGCACCGCTCTCCTCGGCGTGCTTCTTGGCGTACTTGGTGAAGGCCTTCTTCTTGCTCTTGTACCAGTTCTTGTAGAAGCGGCGCTTGACCTCGTCGCTCAGGTGCTCAGCCCAGACGGTGGTGAGCGAGCGGAGACCACGGGGAGTCTCGATGTAAC